TTCCTGCTGCTTGGGTTGGGCCACCACCTCTGGTGCTCATCAGACCCCTTTGTGATCTGCTTTAACCCGCTAAAATGGGAGAAAAGCTAGATAGGCAACCTGCCTACCGCAGCTAGTTTTTATCACATCAGTAAAGTGACTGGAGGACAGAGGGAGAAGAGCCAGGGTGGAGTGTCTCAAATCGGCTCATCTGTCCTTGCAACTGCAACATGAGCTGAGTGCTGCTCTGAGACAGCTCTTCCAGTGCATCCCTCTTGGGTGGAGACCAGGTCTCCAGGTCTTCTCTGCTCCGTTCTCTAGCCACAACGTCAGATAAATCTCTTCCATGTGTGTATACTTCTCCAATGATGCTGGCCTCCCAGCCGAGGACTCCCGCTGGGGACTGGTGTGTCAGCCCTGACGGGCTTCACAGACCTGCTGACAGCCTGGAAGCCCTGCGGCCCAGTGGGTCACGACAATACATCGGCAGCTACCCGGGGTGCTCTGGGCTTTGAGCATGGCTAAGGGACTTGGTTACAAGAAAGCCAAGCAGCATCTGATGACTAAATCAAATCACAGTGAGAGGCTGGTGTGCCTGGGCCAGAGAAGGGATCCACAGCAGGGCCAGGCTCTCTGGCAGCATCGCAGCTGACCCATTATTAGATTATGTTTGTCTCTTCCGCCTAAAATAGGCACTGAAGTGTTGGGAGCGGCAAGTCCCGTCCTATGTCACAAGGCTAGATGATTCTATATATTTTTTCCCCTCCCCTTCCCCCACATGAGTGGTGTGAGTCACCACTCCTTGGTGCCTGATCCTCCTTGCCTTCTGCCTCCAGCCAGAGTCCCTCCGCCTATGAAGCGCCCAGCTGCTGCCTCTTCGCCTCCTCTGCTGGCCCACAAGAAGTCCGTGGCTGCGGTAGAGAATCCCCCAGCACCACAGGTACCTAATTTCTTGATTCAAACCTAGCCTGAGGCAGTGATGCTCCCTGCGCTGCAGGTGAGGAGATGGGAGAGAGCCCATCAAAGTAGGACAGATCTTTGCAGGGGGCTACTTGTGTATTTTGGGGTGGGAGGGGTGTTTGGGATTTTGGTGCCTTGAGAGACTCAGGTGAGAGAGTGTTTTCTTTCTAGGAGTCTGTGGACTGAAATTTGTCCATGGCAGGCAAGAGTTTAGGTGAATTGGTGCCGGATGGTTCCTTGAGCCACCCAGGGCACAAGCACCCTCCTTCCTATGGGACAATAACCCTGTAGATGAGGAAGGAGCA